TGCATGTATAGCACATCTGACAATAAAAGCTGACTTGATTTATTTTTATTTATGAGCACGAGCCTTAGTGTGTGCAGGGGTGTAGTGGGGAAACAAACAAACCCAAGTAAACTGTTATCCACCTTGGAAACCACCTTCAGATCAACTACCAATCAATGAGGGAAACTACAGGGGTTAACCCACCCCTGTATTTACCACTACACCCCTGAGTATGTGTGACAAAATATTCTCAAGTTACAGTCTTACAGTTTTGCCTGAGCTTTCAACAACAGTGAATGTTGTAAATGGAACCGACACACAACCAAAGATAGTGAGGAAAAACAGCCCCACCGCCTTTAGCCACAAAAAACATATCTGTTACATTAAATCAACACTCTCAAAGTAAGTGTACGGATTTATAGTAACAACTGACACTGTACAGAAGGAGGGAAGAATCCAATAAACTGAAAACCATTTGCTCCATTGGTGAGATGGAGGCCACGGCAAGGGACTTTTAATCAACACTACTTCTAAATATCTTTATCGTCTACAGAGAAAAGGTAAAAAAAAAAAAGAAAAGAAAGAATTTATCTCCATTAAATACAGAAAGAATTGAGCACACACGTGTAGCTTTGGCCCAGACTTCAGAAGATAAAGTGCAGACATTTAATGCCTTTTAATTACTCACATATAGTAATTAGTTAGCTCTGGGATATACCTCCTCTGTTTTGACTTTCCCCGTCTCTCCCATTCATGCTCTTTCCCTCCTTGCTCGGCATGTTGCAGGCTTGGCCCATGCACCACAAACACACAGCGAGGCTGGTAATTACACTGGTTAGATGGTAGTAATGACAGAGTTAGCAGAGGAGTACAGCTTCCAGAGGAATGAGTGTACTCTGTGTGGAGGAGGTGCCGATGATGCTGCTGCTTGCTGGTATGTCAGACCAGGATGGGCAGACCTGAGATCAGCGTGGAGTGCAACTGAGAGCTTATCAGGAGGAGAGACAGACAGAAAGCAGTCTAAATATACTTGAAAGGATGTGCAGCAAGCAAAATTCAAAGGAAAAGACGAGAGTGCAAAGACCAAAGCTAGAAAATCTACAATAAGCATTTAACTTTAAACATTAACTGCTGACATTGTGTCACAGCAGCTCAGAGTGGTTTTAGCTTTTTAGAAATCCCCAGAGAAAAAAATGAACTCTCCAGACATAAAACGTGAGCAGCAGTTACTATAAGTGTTTAAATTAACCAAACGATGCCAGGGTGCGAGCTAGATTATGGGCTGGTTTGAAGAACAGATGGCGGTACATATGACTGGCAGATGGCAGACAGGAGCAGGAGTAGAGCACGACACTGTAATACAACACAATACAGTGCTGGCAGGGAACCGCACATCCAGCATTCATGCCATCACGGCTTCTGAAGGAGCGGACAGACCCGGAGGTGCTATCAGATCTGCAATGACTCCTGAACGACCTCAACTTATTCAGGTCGCTTCAGCAAGTCTTGAGCTTTGGCCTGATAAAATCCCCACGTTAAAATGATGCCACATGAGTACGGTATTAAAATCCAAACGTATCCTTTAAGGGTCAGTATTAAGAGACATGAAAGATTTGTAATTTGTTTATAAAGACCAAGAAAATAGCTCTGATAAACAGCAGCAGATTCATGCAGGAGTCTAAAAGGAGAAGACCTCAGAGCATTGCTGAAAGGTCAGTGCCTTTAAAAGCAGGTGGTAGAGGTGAACTGTCTGCGACCGTGAGCAAAGTTCAGCGGATGTTTCACTGCGCTGTGGCGCGGAGCAGCATGATGAGAGGCTACGGGATGACTGCTGGAGTCGGCCTGCATTTTCCTGATGCGATTGTCGGGGCAACCTGTTTTCCCTTCTACAACAACAGATTTGATAAACAAATGTTCGTTCTGGAACACGTGCCGAATGGAGCTACGGGGATCTGCTTCTGACCGGAGATCACACTCACACTCGGCTATAAGAGCAGCTTTTACACTTGACCTAAAATACCGACAGCAGCTGCACAAATGGTCACTCGTTACGTACAACAACTAACTGCAGGCGATCCTGGAAGTGTGACACTCTCAGATACAAACCACCCCGAGTCTCCTCCATCAACAACAAAACTCTACAGGAAACACTGAAAACACTGACATATCAGAACATCGGGCAGGAAATAAACAGCCGAAGCCTCCGACTCTGGTCTATATCGGGCTTGTAGGTCTGTTTGGCTTATCTGGAGGCGACATCTCCCCCTCTCAAGACTGGAGCTTTACTGAGCTACAGCTCTCTCCCTGTCGCCCTGCTTTCCTTTCCACTCACTTTCCTCCACAGTCTTTTCCTAAAGTCTCCCCCGACCCTGCTGTCATTGTCTCCACTGATTTCCGTCTACATTGTTATGCTGAATCCCGCTGATGTCGCTAGTGTCACTTCCATCTGCCTGTCTGTCCGTCATGTCGCTGTCCCATGACACTGAGACAGCTCGAGAGGAGGAGGAGGAGGAGGAGGAGGAGGAGGAAGGAGTAAATATATATAAATATAGATTCGAAACGCACTCACACACTGTCAAGACAAAACAAGTTTAACGATTTGCATTCAGTTGGAAGATCACGAATCGCAGCCCACATCATCATTCATCATCACCACTCATCATCATCACTCACTAGAACAGATGAATGGTGGTGAGGAAATCAGGAGCGGTGGAGGTGGGAGAAGAGAGATCAAGATGAGTGTGTAAATATTCAGATGCTGCAGCAGATACTGTATAAGATGTTTCTATCTCTCTGGTTTGTCAAATGATTTCCCCAAATAATCAGATTCTTCCCGGGTCAGAGGTGAGTGTGGCGGTAGGTAGCTGGAGGGGATTCAGGGTAGAGTTTTATGGTAAAAAATAAAATCCATATTATGATATTGATGGGCACTGTTTTCCAATGTTTATAGATCGAGAAAGTAACTAGTTAGCCCTTCATGTAGTTTATTTCTGGGAAGTTACAATAACTGGACAGATGTGTCGGTTTGGCCGATCCAACTAATTTAAATACCTGACAAATCAAGATAAGTCATCAAATCCAATATAGCGATAAAGCAGTCCTACTCATCGAGAAAGTAACTAGTTAGCCCTTCATGTATATATATACACACATATCTATATATATATATACACATATCTATATATCTCATATACCCAGAGAGATTAATGGAAAAACCTCTGACGGTTGACACATTTATATATATATTTATAGTATACGTCATGATATCACCCAGCCCTACTGAGATTTTCCTCTAATACAGGGATTACTTTAAAAAAGCTTTGTGAATAATTATTTTGCTAAACCTATTGCAATATTTACTCCCTCTTGTTTACTAGTGTCCAGTAAGAGTCCCAGCCGACCACAGCTTCAAAATATGACCATATGAACTAATTAAAATGTTTTTATATTCACCACAAAAAATAAATACTAAAGAACAAAACAATTAAAACACAAGAAGTTCAGCTTTTGTGGCCAGCACCTTCGTTGACACTAGAGTTAAAGATAGCTGACATTAACATCAGAGGTTTAAGTGCTTCCTGAAGCCAAAAAAACAACAACAGATGTGTAAATCACAAGAAGCTACTGATAACAACAAGTCTATGACAACAACCAGGAAGAACCCTGAAGCAAGTTCCCGTGAGCCGTTACTGGAATCAGAGAGAATTAGTATGACAGACCGAACATTGCATTGTGGGAGTCTCTATTAAGCTCGATGTTGTGTTGCGACGGTGACCGTTACTGCAGCTCTCCTCCAAAGAAAAGAGAATATTACAGGTACCCTACTTTCATTATCAGTACAGAATGCAGATGAGTAAGTGCTTTATCTACCGAACAGCGGAGCAGACAGCTCACCTCTACACTGCAGAAAAATATCCGGGTCATCAAGTCAATTAGCCTTTTAGTCTTTGGACGCCACTTTTCTTAAAGGAAACATTCTGCAAGTGAAGGGAAGTTATGTGTGAAGTTATATTTGAAGCATTAGAAGAGAAATGCCTGCATTAAAAGGTATAAAGACAATTCAAGGAAAGTGGATCACACAGCCCCAAAACAAATGTTTGTTATAAGTAAGATAAATGTTACAGTCTGTAACAGTCCACATAACCAAAACTTCAGATTAAAACAAGTTTCTATTCTAAATGACACACATATGTGCAACATCAAATGTACTAATCCTACCTTGTTCTGCCTTCAGCTGTGCAGTATGCAGGTGAAGCAGGTGTGGTGAGGTTGGACGTCACAGTGCAGGAAGGGAAGGCTCAGTGTTTTACTCTGCAGGAGAAAAACAGAAGAGAGAAATTTATATTTTCGTTGACATCAGAGAAACATCTCAACTTCTTCATGGGAAATAATGCTCTACAGCAAACCTTGTGTTGTTTTTTTAACCTTTTTGTATGTCACATAATCTGTGTGTAATAATTGAGTGTGTGTGTGTGTGTGTGTGTGTGTGTGTGTGTGTGTTCCTGCAGAGCAGCTGTAATCAGTTCCACGCTCATCAAGTCATCCACACAGACATGCGTATTGTTTGTGAGGAGTCTGAACAAAGATGCCCCAGGCGGTCTATCTGTACTGTAAACACGTTTGTATACACACAGACTGGCTTGCACACAAACACAGTTAAAGTACGTTTGGCCTCTGCAGCAACTGATGTGGTTTTAATATTAGCTCAGATAAAAGAATGTGTATAAAAGTCAAAACAGCACACGAGAGTTTTAACTAACGCAACAAACTGGTGATGTTGTCTAGTTCCTGCCTCATCCTCACACACCGTCTTCGTCGTCCAGCTCTTTCCTGAGCAGGGATGGAAATACAAAGAGAGCGAAGTGAAGTGAAGGAGGCAGTGCACTCTGATTAGAGGTCGAGGGGCCTAAGAACAGAGGCGGGGGGAGGGCTCTTCAAATACAAGTGGGACATAAAGAGAGGGGTGAGGAAGGGGGCGGGTGGGAATCCGCAGACATAATGTCCTGAGGGGGAAGCCCATTACTGTCTGACAAATACAGTTCTAATCAATACTGATCAATCAGGGTCCACTTACCCTGCCACGGCAAGCATAATAACACTGTCTTTACGCAGCGGGGGGCTGCAGGGTGGACAGGGGTCACTGATTGTGTGAGGGACTATTTTCCTACAGCAAAGGGTCCGTAAAGTAAGCAGAGTCAGTCAGGCTTTACTGCACTGCACTAGAAATTAAGTTCAACTGTGAGTGGACATTTCCGAACCATGGCCCCGGACTGATTACACCACCACTTTATATGTGAGGTGCTGTATGAAGCCACTGTCACACACACACAGAGAGAGACACAATACACACTTCAGACATATATTGCATTTAGTGGAATCAAATCAAACACTAAAAACACAGAAAAACAAACATACATTTAGAGCAAACTGATGAAAAAACACCTGCCTGAAAACTAGCCGGTTGCACTTTAAGGCTTACACCACCGCAGATACTTTAAAACTAACATGTGACGGGTATACATGAATAAGGTTAATAGGGTTTACTAAAATATTTACACGTCCACGGCAACCGCTGGAAGCTATTAAAATACAAGTGTTGTCAAGCTTTTCCCTTTAAGCTTCGGAAGCCACACTGTTGCCAAAACGTCAGCTCGTCGTGGAATAAAGTATACTCTGCGTACCGTCGTTCCAAAGTGTCCTGCTTTCTTTTGAGTTACTTGTTTTTCTACCTAAAGTCGCGTGCAACAGTGTGTGTGTGTGGTGTGTGGTGTGTGTGTGTGTTGTGTGGTGTTGTGTGTGTGTGGTGTGTGTGTGTGGGTGGCTTTCAATAAGGCCGCAGTGATTGAAAGACAGGTGTTTCAAATGTGTATGTCAGCCCATTAAGCGGTTTTCCACAGAGGCGCAAGTCCAACACCTAACTCCACGAGTCACAGCCGACAAATGACACGGCAGAGTGCGTCAAAGCGGGTGAGGGGACTCCACGACAGAGCTTGGTAAACCAGCACCAGCTACAAACCTGCACAGGGTTGAAGTCATCACCTCTGTGCCACAGGCGCAGCTTAAAGTGTTTGGTGTGAGGATCAGAAAGCTGACATCTGTGGCACTGCTGCTATTCCTGGAGTACCTGTCTGTCAACAAAATCTAGAGCTTTCAACCCATTTTCTCATGTCAGCAAAACAGGTATGTGAACAACCGGTACGCTCCACTGGGTCTGATGACTGCCTGATATTACAGAGGAGGTCTCAAGATGCACTGCGGAACAAGTTCGACAGAGGCTCCGTGAACGCCGGGATGAAGACGAATGACCTCTGCACCCTCCACAAACATCGCTGAACCTTTACACGAGGCGGTGGAGCGCAGAGAGCAGAGCTGAATTCAGAGCAGATGTCCACACGTGTCTGGTGGAAAGTCGATTTGTGTGACTGGGACTCTGGTAAAGTCTGGAGTCTGCTGTATATTTAGTAGTGGAGTCACTCTCTGTGGCTCTGAATCCTGCCAGACAGAATAACTGTCACACAGCCAGGACACAGTTGGCTTGCTCCATATGTGTGTGTGTGTGTGTACGTACAGTATGCTTTCAGGACAGTGGGCCCCCGAGTTTACATAAATAATCTATAAACAAATACATTAATCTGTGTTTCAGAGAAGATGAATCCAAGGCAACCACTGACGGGATAAACAGAGAGTCAGTGTGTGTCTGCAGGCGTCTGTGCCTTCGCCGTCTCTGGCATTATGTTGTGATTAAGACGGGATTACTGACAACTCTGATGCATGAATATTTCAGAGCATTTTCTGTGTCAGTACTCCTCCAGAGTTCAGCCTACTCAAGCTTTAACTCGTGCTGAGTGTAGAAAGCTGAGAGGTCATCACAATAAATAACTGTTTGTTTCATCAAAGGCTGTCCATGTGGCGTCTTCAGCTCTTGGCATTACATTAATGCATGTTATGATATGTTACAGTGAATTAACAGTGAATTTGGACTAAAATGTAAAAGAGTTGTATTAGAACTGGTAGCTTTTATTTCTAGATGCCAGATGATACCAGTAGGAATATACAGACTACTTAAAGATATTTAAAATAGAGCCCGAACATGTAGCTGATTAATTGCTTTGTTGATGTACAAAATTAATTTTCAACTATTTTGATAATCAATTAATTGTTTAAGTTGCTTTTTTTTTTTTTGAAACATGTCGAACATTTTATGGACGCAGTTTCTCAAATGTGAAGATTTGCGGATTTTCTCTGTTTAATATTATTTTAAACTGAATATGTTTTGGTTAGGGACTGATTGTCAGACAAGAAGCCATTGAAAGATTGTAATTTTGTATCATAATAAAAATAATGGTTAGTTAACACAGGTGGCAATAACCCAACAATCAATGAAACATACAACCTACTGTCAAACATCTGCAATAATATAAAATGTTTACTCTTTCTTGAACTTTCAACTGAACGTTTCACAGCGTTTGACAGAAGCCAGCAGTCACTTCATTGTTGTCTGAATATTGTGTCTATGTTTGCATATCCTTTACATATTCTGCTGTAGTCTGGATTGGGTAATGAGTGCTGCAGGAGAGGGAGGGAACCCCCTGCAGAGAGGGGTGGGTAGCCCCATTCACACTCCAACACTGGGAGGTGGGGATTGCCACACTTTCGTCCTTCTTCACATTCCTCTGCACGCCCCTTCGTCTTCCCCCAGTGATTCTCGCCACCTCATCTTATTGGAATTGAAATGGGGAGCAGTGGGGATGTTCGGGGCGGAAAAAGGATCTCGCTTTGCTTCCTTCCTCGCACAAGTGAATGACACGTGGCTCTGTCCTGCTGTAAAGCTTCCCACTGTGAAGATCTTCATTAAGATGAAATCAGGAGAGAGTGGGAGTGTCTCATGAGAGCAAACCACTGGAAAAGCAGAACGAAACCAGAGTGTGTTCTTAAAGTCTATAAATAAATCAAGCTGAAAGTTGCTCTGATCGATCAGCGGCTGATCAATGACTGAAGATTTATTCTAGATGAGATTGCATTGCAAAGTAAGTGCACGATTTGCATTATCTGATACACACGAGGCAGTAAATTATTATCCTCTTGCAGCAAGTCAACAAACACCATGTTTACTGCCGTCCGTCAAACTGTTTTAGACTGTAATTATCTACTTGGAGAGCATTTTTGGAAAGAATCCTAAACTTGCTGCGAGTCTGCGGGTTGTTTGTTCCAACGATTATTTATGAAGACTCATTTTTAATTATCACTTGCTAAGAAACTGATTATTGCACCATGTTAATGATATTCCAATCTGAGCTTCCTGGACACAAACAAACAACAATTAACCAACTCAAAATAAGACATTTCTCCATCTTTAAGAGCACTGAGTGAATCCACTGGCCGTGTGCTTTAACTCCGGGCAACATAAGAGGAAAATACAGTGATGAAGTCATATGCAATACACAGAGCTCCCTTTCACCAAAACCACTTGGAAATGCTGCTGTAGCTGTTTGATCGCTATGCTGGCGCTGGTTGCCATAGGAACGGTAAGGTGCACCAGCAAAAAGACGTGTGATGTAGGCGGCGGGCCGCAGGCAATCAGGAGGACACACACAACCTGAGAGAGCGAAGCAGCAAACGAAAAGACACAACTGGAATAACTGAACAACTCTAAAGTTTGCTCCTTCGGTCTTTTTCTATTCTTTAATTTGACTTCTCGGTCTGCTAACCCAAATGTCCTCAGATCTGTTGCTGCTCCCTCTGTGGGTTAATCAGTCCGTCCGTGTCATCAAAGCATGTTAGAAAGGGCTCTGAACTCTTCAAACACATGAAAAAGCTCAGCGCTCTAAAAGTGCCCTCATCAGCAGTCCTCCAGCATCTGTTACTTGTTTTTGTTTCCGTAGCATAATCCAGTTTTAGCAAATTCCAAGCGTTTTCTATAGATGGTCATCTTAGATGCTATCTCTGGTGAATTAACCGGCCATGTGCCAAGCTGCAGAGCCAGCTGTGTGGAGAGGCTTTTCAATTACATCTGCAAAGCCTGAACCTGGTGACAGAGTAAGTAAGGAGGATTAGCAGAGGTGTTTAAAGGTGACACTTCCCTGTAAGGCTGGAGGTTTATGGGCTAAGCAACCACAGAACGCCCACGGCTCTTCCTAAATAATGACTCTTAGAATATAAGAACAGCCTTTGACTCAGTGCTGTTCAATCTGACACCATGAAGTGTAGTTCTTCATGTATGTGTAAGTCCCAGGACAGCTGCTGTAAGTGAGAAGGACCTCTCAGAGAGTCCCGGTCTGTATGTTTACTACATATCATATATAAAAGAGAGG